GCTTAGTATACCTTATATTTCTATACTCGATTTCAGCTTATTCGATTGTTATAGAAATTGAATTTGACACAAGGTTTACCCAAGCACAGTATTGCGCATAAGTTTGGCACAGCCCACAGAATATAATTTTATAGAGCTAACATAAGGTGACTAACCATGAGTGATACGATTTCTTATAGCTATATTTCAAGAGCTGTTAAGATTATTGTCAAGATAGAGCTGTTGAAGTGTTCAATATGGTTTGCCATTTATTACTATTACATTGTTATTATAATATATTATCAATATATATATATCTTTATCTATGCTCGCTCTAAATAATAAATTTTTCACCATATTCATGTGTTAAATAAAATCATTTATTCAGTCTTGGATTTCTCGCTTCTTATGCTAATAATTTTTAGTTTATGTCGTTTATCTTCTTACAAATGTGATCTTTGGCATCGTAAACTGTTTGAAAACAGGTTCATAAAACACCCACTTAAGTTAAGCTAGCAGCGCTACCAAAGTGCCGAAATTCCAAACACTAAAAATACAGAAAAAAAAAAACTACACAAAGAGAAAACAACTTCAAAATGGTCCCGGGAGAATAATGAATTAACATGACATCCGACATGCATAATTTACAAGATTAACGATATGAAAATTGATTTCAATGCCACTAAAAATGTCGAAAACAAACTGAAATACATAAAAAGTTTTGCTTTATTTATTGCCGTGGTGTGCGTGTGTGTGAGGAAATGGGACACCACTTAAGTCATTTAAGTTTTATAGTCAGATAATTTTTATGCGATTTGAGAATCAGGTATTTATAGGCTTATACTCGACGAGGTCGTCGTCGTCGCCGTAGTCGTAGTCCAACCAAGCCCCTACCGACTCATTAGTTTTACGTTTTACCCAATCCAGGCAGTGAGTGGAGCTAAGTTGTGGCCTCTGGCATTTACGACTCTTCTATGTGCCAACTGTCCCCAGTAATTGTCACATTTTGTCAGCTTCCCATATTTGATTTGGGTTGCCACAGACCAACCGACAGACAGACGGACAGGAGTGACAGTCGTCGCAGTTGTCTGCTCTCATTCTGTTTTCTGCTCTTTTATGACAATTTTAATGCAATTTCTAAAATAAAATGTATTTTTTATGACTCTTTTCAAGAGTGCGCACCCTTGGGAGCTAACCTGAAAGGCAAGTCCCGACCTGCCAGCCAGCCAGCCTTTACGATTGGCTTTTTCATTTGTGTTGTCTATTATGGCTGTGTTCGCTTTTATCTTTGGTTTGATTTTATATCGTTTATTTGCTCGCCCTCTCTCTCTCTCTCTGTGTGTGTGTGTGTGTGTGTGTCAAAGTTTATATTTTTATTTGTTTCGACAGTAAAGCTGATGTGTTTATGACACGTCTTGACAGTAAGTAGCTGCTGCGGACTTGACTGCTGCCAGTAGCCGAGCGTGTTGACCTTTTTTATTCGATTCGGCATTTATCAGAGCAAGCGCCCACTTACGATCTGATTTGTGAGCGTGTGTGGGTCTGGGCTCTAAATGGTTCAATCCACAGCCCTGATTGAATAGCCGAGTGGTCTTTATTAATAATGCGATAAGCCTTGAAGACGAAAGCTGACCAGCTGAAGGAATGGGCAGAAACAAATCCTCAAATATCTAATGCTGTTTGGAGTTTCTCTGGTATTTGGCGAGTCTCTTAGTACGGTCCATTTAAAATTAACGCGATGAGAAGTTGACGGCGGCGGTGTCAAGGCGAAGCCAGCGAGGTATAACATTTCAGTTTGTTTCCGGCATTTCGGAGAGCACACACAGGCCAAATCAACATAAATGTGATGGGCATGTCAAAGCCGTCAAGTCGAGAAATAATGCCAAGACCCCAACAGGCAGACAAAGACCTTAGGTGAGTTAGCTGCTTTGCGCAGAAGTCGCTTCGATTCGTCAACTTTTTAGCCGTGCAAAAAGCTGAACACTTGCCGGAGTGGAGGAAGAGGCAGGAGACGGGAGCCCAAAAGAAAAACCGCAAAATTGAAAATACATCAAAGTTGTCTGCGGCAAAGAAACCAACCAGAACAACAATAGCAAGAGCCAGAGCTGAGAAATCATAAAGAAAATATGCTATGCCATGTTGGAGCAGGAGAAGGGAGAGGCGGAGCACGCATGAGTACGTATAACGAACAACAAGCGAACATATTCAATAACGAGAGATGTCAAAAAGCCATCATAAACAGATGACATTTCCCATATTGAGTGGCGAAAGTAAAATTTAATAATAATACGGAATACACCGACGGCGACAGCGACGAGTCAAAGTCGGGCCAGTGTTATGCGAGACGGATGGAACTACTACAAGGCGGACAGACGGCGGCGCAGGACAGTCAGAGGCGGGCACGGATGGACGGACAGACGGATGGACGGAGGAGGGGCAGAGAGACGGTTAGTCGAATAGGCGGAGCTGGCAACACGTCAACAACGAAAATTGACACGCCGACATAAACACTCACACATGTTTGGGGTACGGCCTCCGTCTGGGTCTGTGACACGGCAGTTGTTTGCTTGGGGAGTGCAGAGAGCGGCGAGCGGAGAGCGGAGAGCAGAGAGCAGCGCCCTGCCGTGAGGAATGTATAGCAAAAATGTCAATATGTTGTTGGGGTTGTCAGGGCTGTCATGTCACACTGGCGCTTGGCAGCTACCTACCTAGCTACCAGCTACCAGCTACCAGCTGCCAGCTGCCACCTGGCACCGCCTCCCGCCCCGGGCACCCGACGCCCGCTGCGCAAGTAGCCCCAATGCTAAACGTGTCTTAGTTTCATGCATGAATGTTTGTGGCACATAATTGAAAGCTAGCTAAATTAATTTCAATGTGAGGCGCCAACAACAAACGAACCTAGTCAGCTTCTAGTAGCTGGTCGGTGGTTCGGTGGTTGGACCCCACATTCCCTTTGAGGGGCAACTCGCTTTTCACACATGACTGCTACGTGCTTGCGGCGGGCTGAGTTCACAGAGGGCAGCTCGTTAACAGGAGCTTCACAGCTAGTTAGAAGTCACCTCATCATCGTCACCATCATCGTCATCGTCATCGTCATCGTCATCGTCATCGTCCTCGCCGTCGTCGTCAGCGTTTGTACATTTTCCATGACATTTTTGACAGCTTTCGTCTAACACGCAACAAACCCACAAAACAGTTTGTAAACGCCTCGCCCCTACAGACAGCTCACCTCACCTCACCTCACCCCTCTCTCACACCTCTTTTCAGCTAACACACGACGTTTATCAATGACATTTTGGTCAACTGGGGTAATGGCAAATGGCATTGATTTAAATGAGTTTTGGCCTTGTGGCTTTTTCGGCTAAGCACTCTGCCACTCCATAGTCTGGACTGGCGTCAATTTGGGACCTTTGACGCGGTTCAGTTCACATTGTGTACGATACAAATGAGAATATATATAGTATAGTAGTATAGAAAATTATAGCAATATAGCAAAAGTTAATTAAATTATATTTAATATTGAAATGCATAATAATCATAAAATATATTTTTTTAATAATATATATTATTAAATTATTATTAAAAATAAATTTAAATATATGTATACTATGGTAGCTATAGTGTATCAGAGAGACCCATAGGTAAACACATTATTCATATAAATTGGGGAAGCTTGAAGATATGTTCTTCCCTTGAACTGCATGCTTAATGATACTGATATTTTTGTGAATAAAACTGCATATACATTTATACTTAGTGAGTAACATTAAAATTAGGCGTATTTATTTTTCTACTTCAGTCGCCCATAAAACATGAAATATTAATTAAAATTAAAAAAGTAGAGGTGCTAAAGTGTAGAAAATTATTATATACAAACTGCAGAACCCCAAAACTTGGCGTTACTTCAATATTCGTGTTTTTCTTAAACCAGATTCGAGTTACATTAAAAGCTGTGAAGTTTAGAAGTAAAAAAAAAACGAATATAAATGGTACTCGCTGTATATCGAATTATATAAAAACTAAAAAAATAATATAAAATTATTCTTATATTTATATTTTTCATTGATTTACTTCAATCAAATATATTGACGATTTCTTACTTATCTGGCAAAAAGATTAGAGTATATATATTTATATTTTTAATATATATATATATATATATATATATACTTCAGTGTTCGGGTTTTTCTTTAACCAAAAAGAAAAATAAAAAAGCGAATATTGATGTTACTTACGATATGTTTAATTATATATTTTTTTCAATATAATTAAAATTAAATAATATTAAGATTATGACTAAAACTATATTTTTAATTAACTTATTTCAATTGATAATTTCTTTGATAATTTATCACTTATCTGGCAAATAGATTTAACTATATTTTGATTCATGTGGCCTTAGTGAACCCCTCTATACAGTTCAGTCGCCAATTTCGCCCAACTTATTTCGCCTGGGCACTAATAAGCCCAGTGCCCAAACAAAATGTGCACAATTTACGGGCACAGATTGAACGTGCAATGTGTGGCGGTGTGTGGACATTTGTTCCGGCTCCAGAGATTTCGGAGAACGCTCTATTAAAAGTATGTATATCAGTGTCTCTAATAGCGTACGTGTGAATCGTTCGACGTGGCTGATGTCCATGTCCAAGTCGAAGCCAAGGGGGGTTCACTTCTGTTGCCGGTCGTAAAGAACAAAAGGTCCTGTGTCTCGGCAACGCCTCTCTAGGGTATACGGGATATATAAATGCCGTAAGCACCCATGGCTAAGCCCCAGCGCTTTTGCTAAATGTTCGATAATTTTGGCCGCAATTGCAGTTTTATGACATTTCATGGATCATATGTGTCCCATCTTGGCCGCAGCCCATAAATTCTAACAAGCCGCCAGTTATCTACCCCAGCAGAGCTCTGCAGTGCCATAAACCCCGACTGCTGCAGTCGCCAGCTGTCGTCGAGGATATCATCTTTGCTCTTGGAGGCTTTTAATAACTATTTCTATCGCACTTGGCACTCACAGCACGCAGCCACATAAATGTAATATAAAATACTTGGCAACGTTTTGTACTTATCTCTCCCAGTGTCCTCTCGGACAATATATTGTATGTATATAAATATACGTTTTTATTCCTCTTGCTGTAAGCGCTCATAAAGTGCACAGATAAAAGCGAGTTATGGAAATGATGATGCCGCATTAAAGCTCTGCTTACTTATTTCACACATCTCATT